CTCAGTATTAACCAGAGGTGTTTTAAGAGTGCAGCCAAAGAAATTCTATTTGAACAGCCCTTAAATTTTCTCATGAGAGCCCACCCTTTAAATCTCATTGTGTTGACTCAATTTCACAACAGTATTGAAAAGAAGCTACCTTTAATTTTGAAGTAATACCTGTTTTGGAAATAAAATAAACTAATATAGGCTGCTGTATTTCCTTATCACCTAGAAATATCTAATTTCCTTGCATTTCCCCTGGCATGTGCATATATGTTACTAATTTTATGTTTTAATGAGATATTAATAATTGCCTTTCAGTAGATTGATCAAGCACACTGGTCTCATCCTCTCTACTGTTTACCCAAAGAGCTGTCTCTGATGTCGACTTTGTGTAACGGCTAGGAAGGAAGAATGACCCACCCTAAATCTTACACTTGGAAAGAATAATCAAATAGTATGATGATAATCTATATTCCTTCAGATATCCTGGAAACACATATATGGTAAAAAGTTGTTGGTAATATGTAAACTATAATTCTAGAAAAGCATATCCTAAACTGTGAACCATCTGCAGAAATGAACAGTGAACATGGTAGTACAAAAAAATTTGTCTGTGGAACACATGAATGAGAAAAATGAGACTAAAATAAAATTTCCTGGATAGTAACTTCACTTTTGAAGAAAGGAAATAAAGTTATATGCAGGAATATATCTTCTGAAGAACAAAATATTAGGGTTGTCTGCAAATCTGGCTTTAAATCAACTTTCTACATGTCCCTCTAGACTGATTTAAGGTCTTACAGAGACCTAAGCATCTCTTCAGCAATAACTGACACTTGGAACAATACATTTTACCTTTAGTACATTGTAGCTAGCAGCTATTGGCAATAGGCACAAAGGCAGTAAGTGTTGTAGCATGAAATAGTAAAAAGACATTCCTATAATGACAATTAAAAAAAAATAATCTTATTAAATAAACAACATTTATATGTAGAACAGTTTCTGGAATTAAATGCTTCCTAATACTCCCTGGTCATTGGATTATTGCTGGACTCATCATCATCACCACATAAACAACACGACGAACGGGAAACTTATTACTACGTATAAACAAAATCTAATTTATAAAGGTGCAGTTGATCAGATGTCAGCAATCTTAAGCCAAACCAGTTATCAAGTCCTTGTTTTGTTTCAAATCTGTGTTTCCTGAGGACACACAACTTCCGTAATCTGTAAGCCTTTAAAAAATTACTGGTTGAATCGAGGAGAAACACCTGCTAAAAGAAAATCAGAGAAAATTCTGCTTTACTCGTCTCATTTGGCAGCAGCCAAGTGGTCAATCAGCAGGCAGATGGCTCTGGACTAGTGACCGCAGGAGGATGGGACAACACTACAATGCATGGCAGACGGGGAATGAGAGGATGCTGATGGTTACATGTGGGGATCATAGGAACTGGATGTACTACGTGTGAGCGTGGATATGGAAAGGACCATACTGGAGTACAAATTCTAAAAGAAAATGAACAGCAGACACCTTTGCACTTAATTAGCTAATGAATTATATTAACAAGACCAGATAATAGACACCTCACTAGCACAAACCAGAATTAATATCTACTTCTGGGATGTGAGCTTACTTTTTCAGAACTAACTGTAGTGTATTCATACAACATTCCTATTTAAATGTGGCTGTGTACTTTTCACATAATGACATCGTAAAAAGTGAAGCCAAACTAATTACGCATATGCATAATTTCACATTATGTCTATATACTGCCATGAAAAAAACAAGCTTCAACAATCAAGCTTTCTAAAAATGTTTTAAGCCACGAATTGTATTTAAATTGTGCTTTATCCTAAAGAACTGAGTTAGATGTATCAAACAACAAAATCTAGAAATGGGGTATCAGGAAAATAATTTCCTCATAAAATTAGACTCTAAACACAATAACTAAAGATCTCCTACACACTGTCCATCGTTAGCACTTGATGTACAAAACGTGAGTGGAAGTATCTGCCTGGTGTGATGATCTTGACGCAATCAAAATCTATTCATCCTAAACAAAGCAAAACATGCAGAATCTATTAATCCTAAACAAGATCAAAGAGAATTAATGAAAGAAAAGTACACAGAAAAATCTGATGTAACTCAAGGCTGATAACAGTGTCATCAGTAGATGGAGCATTTTCTATCAGATTACTGAAATAAATTTATGACTATGAAATTAGGGCTCTCAGCTATCAACAAAGTGGATCCCATCAGTGGTAAAACTAACAAGGACTGAGGGATGCTGATTATTGAAAAGCAAAAATCTTCCCAGGCAGAGCATTGTCTGTCAGCTTATATTAAATAGATAGTTCATTTATAACTGGACTCTCTAAAGAAGAGAAAGAAATCAGTACTGTATGAGATGCACTAAAGTAACTGATAAGCAAAATGTATTTGAGGTTTCAGGACATACTTCTGTGTTTTGCAAGCAGAATTTTTCAGCTATGTTTCCTGTTCCACAGATTACTACTACCATGTATTTCAGAGCGGCAACCATCACACTGATAAAATTATGCAATAAAATTTCATATTCTTCCTCCTAGACTTTTTGATATTTCGCAAAACTGTAGCTCTTCTGTTAGTAATTTCTTTGAAAGAAAGTCAGCTATATTTACAGTGAGTACAGAAAAAACCACAGTAAATTCATTTAAGTAGATGTATTTACAACCTCTATTTCTAAGTTTTAAATAGATTTTAAAAGTGTTCCTTTAAGGTGGACAAATCCTGCATACATTACTTCACATGCATCTCTAATGAACACTGATCTACCAAAGCCAGAAAGATACGATCTTTTAAATATGTACATTAAAGCATATTTCTACATAAAACAAATAATGAAAGCGTCAATCAGATGTACTTCCCAGCATGTGTTCAAGTAAAGTACTCATATAGTTAGAGTCAGATTTAAAACTCACAAGTATGGTAACGGAGAAAAGGAAACTAACCAAAAGCGGTTTAGCTGAGGCTCGGCCTGTCCCAAGGGTTACACACTTGACATATGCAGTTTTGGTTAGCACTTCCCTTGAATTCAATTCTGAATGTGACAAGCCTCAGTAAGTCTCATTTAGCATTCCGTCTAATAAGGAAATTGAAGAGAAATTTAACTGAAAATCATGGCATCCAAAGAAAGGAGAAGAAAAATAAACAGTGAAGTTATATCTATTAGTGCAATACTCGTGTATTATTGTAATAGTTCTTGATGCTAAGATAGCCTGGTTTTAGATCATCTATACTTTCATTTTGTATTACTAACATATCGCTACCAATCTTTTGCAAAGGGTTTAAATTATACTTGTTGAAAAGGAGTTAAAAAGCAATGCTACAATCGTAACTGTGGTATAGGAATCCTGTGTAAGGAAAGACAAAGCAAATGTTTGTACTCTACAAGACTTGTTCTAGGATTAATATTTTCTCTTAAAAACGATAAATGTTAAAATACTTCTTTTTAACCTTGCTTTGTTAAATAATTTGTTTCCATTAAATGTGAAATGATGTTTTGTAGTTTTCAATATTATTTTTTGCAATTATTAGAATCCCTTCAAATATATGGAATATAACCTGAACATTTTATATTTCTCCCATTTCTGAAAAAATATTAATACAGATAAAGAAATATATGTGCCAACGTACAGTTCTGCCTGCCAGTCAGTTTAATATCCCAAACCTTCCATTCAAAATAAAAAGAGGCCAATTCTTGAAACCTAAAAAGGAGGGATCCATTTGCCTCTGAGTTTTCAGGAAACTTAGGACATTTTAGATGTCATATTTGTTCAAAGATATGCCTTACCTTTTGCCTTTCCAATAGTTAGGAAGTATTAAATAGAGTGATGGATGCAATGACAATTCTGTGGAACATAAAACCAAATATACTTTATTTAAGTCTATGTTTCAAAGGCTTTATGTTTTTATGTGTTTGTGAGGCACAGAAAAAATATTCATTTCTACAAGACTTTTAATGAGCCTTCTTACTGCTTGACCAGATTTTACATAATGTGTATTGCCAGGGAGCTTTGTTCTTCCCCAGAGCTTTGCAATCTCTATTATTGTTTATAAATCTTCTCATTCAAACAGCTTAATACATTTCCCAGTGGATGTACCTATAGCTACTAGTCCATTATGTTCTACAAGGGCTCATGCAATGGCTGAGTCCAGATTACAATATTCTTATTGGCCTTGAGCCAATCTGCAAAGGAAAGTAGGTTTAGCTATGCAATTACATTCCAGAAGACTTTTAAATAAATTGTCAACTGAATTCAGAATTCCTACAAGATTCCAGCTGCTGTGTCAAATCAATGTGCACACAATGAGTTGGATAGAAATGAACTTCCGATTAGTGTTCATATTAAGATATTCTAAGAGTATTCTAGCATATGCTTTCCATATATGCATGTCAGAACATTCAGTTTGGCATCAACACCGACAATTCATTTAACCAGAATGAAGGCAGACTCCACCGTAGCTCAACAACAGCAAGAAACAGCTTAGGTTTTGATCATCTGTAATGTAAAAACTGATCTTAAAATTTCGCATGGCTATAGCTAAAGAAACAGAAGAAAAAAATCGATAGATGTGTATGGAAGCAGCCAAAGGCATGCTGGATTCAATCTTTTAATGTGTTACCTTTTGTTGTTGTCTGCCATGGGAACAAAATCACACAGTTATTGAAATATAGATTCAAAAAGGACTGGAGAATAACCCATATATGACAAGAGTACTCCTTTGTCACCCATCTCGTTCTTACTCAGTGTTCAATGGAAAGAAATCTTCACTGGTTTCAATATTCTAGCTGTGCCACCTCTGTGTTTCATCTGAAAACAATGTAAAACTGAAAAATATTGGTGAATCCAAACACTTCCCGAGCTGCCTTCTCCCCATGAATTCGAATATTAACTGGATTTCACTAATAGCTTCTTCACCAAAAAACAACATGATTTTCAAATCAATTATATGCTGAAATGGTACATACTCTGAGGAAACCTGGGTGGATTGTCGTTGACATCAGTGAGTGTGATATTTACAGTTGTTGACCCTGACAGCCCTCCGACCTGCCCAGCCATATCTTTGGCTTGAATGACAACGGAATAATGCTCTCTGGCTTCCCTGTCCATGTTGTGCAAGGCAGTTCTGATGACTCCTGTGATGGAAAGAAAACAAACAAAAGAAAGATCAGGATTAGCTTGTTGTAGCATGAGAAAAGGCTGGGCATAACCTTTATTTTTGGGAAAGGCAGATTTTCTGGAAATGCAAAGCTTTTCTACAATCAGTTAGTTGTTTGTGGTCTTTATATATATATGTGTAACTATATATATATATGTAACAATGTCAGTTGCTGCTAAACAACCAAATTCCTTGAGGATATGAAGAAATTAAAATCATATATATTAAACCAACTATTATACTTATAAATAATTAATTCAACTTACATAACATTCCTAGCCAAAACGTACATTGCAAAAACTCCTGTGTTTTCTCATACATTATAACTGTTTAAACAGCCACTTAATAGAAATGTGAATGAATGCGAACTCTTACCCCACTGAAGAAGACACAAATTCCTTTTTAAGAAAAGTGAATTTCTGAATTAAAATGTGACATACTTCTTAAAACTACCCAAACCCCAAACTTTCTTATTTGACAAATCTCAAAAATCTATACTTTCTTATTTGATACACGTCAGTGATATACATTTATGTTCATAAACTTGATTTACCTAATACTTGTCTGCAAAGTGAAAGATAAGCTGTTATTGTTTTTACTATAGTACAGAGATATTAAAGTTGAGTGATCCTAAAATTCTATTTATTTCTATCCATCACCATCAGACTTTTTTTTAACATTTAGTCAATTACACGTGCAGAAGCAAAGATTATAACAAAGTAGGAACAGTCGACCCTGGGGCCTCAGTTTCAGTTATGGGATATTTTTCACATACGATGATGCCTGTAAATTAGCCCCTGCTAATTTCTTTGATCACAGGCTGACAGAAACCTCATGGAGTTCAATAAAGGGAAATGTCAAGTCTTGTGACAGGGAACCAATGCATGCTGTGGACAGACTAGCTGGGAAGCAGGTTTACAGAAAAGGATCTAGGGGGTCCTCAAGTTGGACATGAGCCAGCAATGTCCCCTTGCAGCAAACAAGGGCAACAGACTCCCCGGCTGCATTTGGAAAAGCATTGCCAGCAGGTCGAGGAAGGGGATCCTTCTCCTCTGCTTACTACTGGTGAGGCCACATCCGGAGTGTCGAGTCCAGTTCTGGGGTCACCAGTACATAAAGACATTGATAGACTGGAGCAAGTTACACAGAAATAAATAAACACCTGAAATGCTAAATTTATTATCATTAAATTTTCAAAACCCTAAATTTTTAGCCTCACTTGGTTTTGGACTCTTCTGGGTAAATTTTAAACATATAATATCCATTAACACAAAACAACTTAAGAAGAGCCTTGCTCTTCTAGACGACCTGCTGTACAGCATGATTCTCAAGGGTTTAGATTCCGACAGCCTCAGATGATGCAAAAAGTAATTTCCAGAACACAACTTTTGTTGTACTTGAAAATCACTTTCTTGGCATTTCTTCAGTAAAACCATTTAGCCATTATTACATACGAAGTGGAAATTTTCATGTAGCTTATACCATTGTTTCCATGCTATTCTGAAAACAAATTACACATAACTAGTAGAACTATTGACAAAGAATAATAGTTTAAAGTATCCATGAGCATTCAGAATGATTTTAACACACTTTTGCACTGCAAGTTCCTTTTAATCAGAAACGTAGATTCTGAACAAGCTGGCTAAAAATAGTATACAAGTCCATTTTAGTTCATCAGTGTTTTTTTCCTTTAAACGACACAGTTAGAAACAGATCTTTTTTCACAAATTTCACCATGATATACTGAAATTAACAGCAATTTATACCTACTATAATAGAAAGTTATGGATATTGGATACTGGAAATTTGGGTAAAAGGAACTGATATAACTTAAATAAGCCATTTCAACAAAATTAATATTGTTCACAAAATCAGGTACTACTGTTCTGAAATTTCATTTTGCTGAAAAATAGGAAGATAGAAAGTATTAAAATGCCCTGATTTCATATTTTTCAAATAGATTGCTTCAGTTTTTCACATTGAAACAAAATTTATTGGATCATTTAATGTTCACGTATATGCATCAAGGAGCATGGGATTCTTTTTTTTTTTTTTTCAAATCCATTTTTTTTTGAAACAGACCAAATTTGTCGTAGTGGAACATCTGTCTTCTGTACAACCCTCATAATTACACTAGTCACTTACACTTTTAAACTAAACAAACAGAAATTCCTCTGAATTACAATTACTTTCCTCTTCCTTTTTGCTTCAAGGGTTATGGTACTGAATCAATGCTTGTAGACAGTTAATAAGGATTTGTGGATGACTAATCATTTGATCTCTCCCACTTGCATCAGATTCCTCTTTTCTGAAAACTGAGTAAATGAAAATGGGCAAGTTTTTAATTACAAAAACTTGTTCCAAAGTTTAGAATAAAAAGACTGGTGCTAAAAGACAGGAGATAACAGAAGATTTAGTTCTCTCTCTTTTCTTGGCTGCACATACATCCATCCAGCCTAAAATTATATCATCAGTATGAGGTATGTAACTACTGTGCCGACCCTAATGCTCTATCCTTGTCACTAGCAGCTCCACCAATTGTTCTGGCAGTATAGCACTAAAATCATACATAATTTCAAATTCCTCCAATGAGCCCAAAAGGTGTAAGGAGAACTTTCTTGGTTGCCTTTTCCAATAAGATAATACGAAATGCTCCAGCAGTTCCTTTTAAAGTAGGAATTGTCCCTGAGTATCTTCAGTACATGTGGCAGGGTCCCTTATACATCCCACAAGAAGACAGGAAGTTCATATTAAGGAAGACATCTCCCTGTCTAAAACGGTGAGCAAAGAAACTAAAAAAGAAAACTGTCACAGGCCTTTTAAACTTAAACATAGCCTTAATTTTTCCTCCTATTTTTTAGGCAACACTGTGACCCTGTTAACTGAGCACTTTTCAGTTCTGTTTCTAATATTTGTTCATCTTTACTAAGAAAGTAATGCAAGAAAAAAAAATGCAAGATGTATACATCATTACGGGGACACCTCACCCTTTTTATGGTATTAACTGAAGAATTTTTGTAGAAGTTTGACTGCTTTGTCAAAAATCATGTACAACATATGGAGGTTTAGATCTATTGGAATGGAGCTGAGAAGGATACAGCTCTGGACCTCTGGCCTGCCAAGTTTAGTCATACCTATTTTCATCTTAAAACTGTGTTATGTGTTTTCCTACATGAAAGGTTCTCTTAGAAGACACTTTTTCTTCTAACTTCTTGCCTAACTTTATTCATGTCTAAATCCCATGAATTGTCTTTTTTTCCTTTGACAATTTCTACAGGCTTGGAAGGCACATTTTCCAATTTGAATTTATCTTCCTTGACCATAGATGACCAAAAACCTACTTACATTCCAGATGAGATTTTGTCACCACATTTTGTAATTACAAGTTTGTTTTGTTTGTTTGTTTGTTTGTTTTTCCAGATTACATGACACTAGTGAATCATCTATGATTGACTAATATACTCGGGACATTCTCCTCCAATCACTCTTCCACATTAATGAGACCAGCATTACTGTAGAATCATAGAATACCTCGAGTTGGAAGGGACCCATAAGGATCATTGACCCCAACCCCCTGCTCTTCACAGGACTAACTAAAACTAAACAATATGAATAAGAGCATTGTGAAGGTAGTCTTATAAACAGTCCTGCAACATGGCCTTTACCATTGTACTGGTCTTGACTGGGACAGAGTCAATTGTCTTCATAGTAGCTACTACAGGGCTACGTTTTGGATTTGTGCTGAAAACAATGTTGATAACACAGGGATGTCTTAGGTACTGCTGAGCAGTGCTTACAAAGTCAAGGGCTTTTCTGCTTCTCACACCACCCCATCAGTGAGTAGGCTGGGAGCGCACAAGAAGCTGGGAGGGGACACAGTTGGGACCGCTGACCCCAACGGACCAAAGGGACATCCCACACCATATGACACCATGTTCAGCAATAAAAGCAGGGGGAAGAAGAAGGAAGAGGGGGGACACATTTGGAGTCACGGCATTTACCTTCCCTAGTAACTGTTAGGTGTGATGGAGCCCTGCTTTCCTGGAGTTGGCTGGACACCTGCCTGCCGATAGGAAGTAGTGAATGAATTCCTTGGTTTTGCTTTGCTTGCATGCATGGCTTTTGCTTTCCCTATTAAACTGTCTCTATCTCAACCCATGAGTTTTTTCACTTTTACTCTTTTGATTCTCTCTCCCATCCCACCAGTGGGGAGCGAGCAAGCAGCTGTGTGGTGCTTAGCTGCCACCTGGGGTTACACCACAACAACTATCAGAGGGCTGGAGCACCTCTCCTAGGAGCACAGGCTGAGAGAGTTGGGGCTGTTCAGCCTGGAGAAGAGAAGGCTCTGGGGAGGCCTTATAGCAGCCTTCCAGTGTTGCGACGGGGGAAGACATGGACACTCAATATGAGCAATCAGCAAGCTTCGTTTATTGAATAGCACAACTGTCTTTTATAATTAGCTAATACATACATGTTTCCATAATACAGCATTCTGATTGGTTCATCAATCCAGCCCTTAGCTCCTTATCTGTGGTTAGTTACCTCTTCTTCTCCCATGCAGCTACTCCCTCTTTTTCCATGCCTGAGTAATCCCAGGCTTCTCATTACCGTGTAGCACCTGCAGTCAGGGTCAGGGTGCCCTTGCCAATTAGCAATCACAGGAACTGGGTCCGATGTTCCCCAAGCTCCTGCTCGGCCAGCTGGATCATATCTATGTTACCCTTCTCAGCTAGCCAATTTCCCACATTCCAGTACCTAAAGGGGTCCTAGAGGAGAGTTGGGGAAGGACTTTTTACAAGGGCGTGTAGTGATAGGATGAGGGGGAATGGCTTCAAACTGAAAGAGGGTAGATTTAGATTAGATATTAGGAAGAAATTTTTCACTTTGAGGGTGGTGAAGCACTGGAACAGATTGCCCAGAGAAGTCGTGAAAGCTCCATCCCTGGAGGTGTTCAAGGCCAGGCCGGATGGGGCTTTG